TATATATATATATATATATATATATATATATATATATATTGCTTTGTAAATCATGTTTAGAATCTGTTCAGTCGAGAAATATGTTCAATTTTTACTTGATCCCCAAATAATCGATTTGAAAAAAAAGAAACTAAATATTAATAGGAAAGAAAGGTCATAAATATTTTATGTGTATTGATTTTTATTCTTTCAATTAATGGCTTACTCATAAAGATTATCTTATATTACTGTTTGATAAACATATGTATAAATATCTAATAATTACAACTCGATTTTATACTAAAAGACTCTTCAGTAGTATCTTTGCTGAATTTGTTAAAGTATATACATTTATTAAGAATATTAGTCAATCTACAGTAATTCAACGAATGATAGCTCGATTCTAATTTGCCGGCTTCGCATGATCGAGCCGCTGAGCCGTGTGAAAAATAAATCCTTATTAGTGAATGGAGAGAAACTGCAACGACTGACCTCTTCACAAACATAAATCTCTTATCATTTAATCCCTCGCACAAATTATTTCTGTTAACGTACAATATTTGACAAAGCGCGGAATTTTTATTTAACTAACGTTAGGTATTGATTATTAAATTACAGCTTAAATAGTGGAAGATGTAAAACTTAATAATTATATATAGATTACATTTATTTTCACATGTAATAGAGAATGCTTTTTGTTATAATTTATAGTCTTTTTTATTTTTTTTTTTTTATAAATTAAATAAAAGGAGTTGAGTATAAATGGGACAACTCGCATTTCCACTCATACCCATATCAATGAAGTATTTATTTTATTATTATTATAATTATCTATTGTATTATATAATATTATATTTTATTATATGTTATTAATATTAACTTATTTTATAGCATGAAGTTTCTTCTCTTTATATGTCTCTCATCTCTTATCTTCTCTTTGAACAGTTGCCAACATTTGGATACACGAGGCTACACAGACCTTTGCTCGGCCCTGTGATGTATTTCGGGACAATGAAGTTTCCATGGGCTATGATATAATTAAATAAACTTGTTGATTTATCACTATTTCACATCATAAACTTCTCATTTGCTTTGCTTTATTAGCTGTAAAGAGATGTACAAAGTTATTCTCAGCTGCTTTGCGGTTCGACTTTGCCTTGCTATGTTTACGTTTGTGGTTCGTGGTTCAAGTACAATCGTAATATAATCGGTAGCAGAGTGTGTGTGTTTCGAAATAGTCTTTGCGAACAGCATGACAATCGAAGTAGCTTGCTCGCATGTAAAGCCAACTTGATTAACAATGCACGGAGATTGCTCAACGAAATATTTGAACATATTTGAGATCAACTCAAATGTCTTCGAAAAGTCACGAATAGACGATTGTTGTTTATAGGGTTAAGAGTCGCATTTGAGCACTCACTGTGCTGCGAAGCTCACTCAAAACAAACCGAGAGTCGAAGACTTGATTGAGTTGAGTTCGGTTTTGCCGGCTATTTGCATAAACAAGCACACGGGCAAAGTTTTAGCGGCTAATTTGCATATTAGCGACACAGAGCGGAATCACAATGGGACGAGTCTCTAGCGAGCGGCTTAGTGAAAGTAATTAGCAAAGAGAATAGTTGCGACAAGCGCTGAATGCTATAGCAACTGCTGAGATAATCTCTCAGATCGACTGAATGACAATTAGCGAACAATTAGAGCCTCTGCAATAGTTGAGCAACTTTAGGTTTATTGACCTCGTGCTATTTTTTTAATTTATTTATTACCTGACCACTTGGCCCAATCAAGCCTGACGGAAGAGCCTCGCGGGCAGTTCTTTGACTTGGCCTGGCCAAGAAGCACGTCGAAAGCTTCGGCTCCGCGCCAGCAATGAGAATGCTTCGAGCTTTTGTTAGACTAACGAACTGACAAGACTGTTTGTTGTTCCCAAAGCAGATCGAGCCCGAACAGTTCTAAACGACGCGCCGAAGCAGAGACAGCACGAGCTCTGAGACTCAACATTCTCTAATTTGTAATTAAGAACTCTTGCTAAGTGAGCCCATTGTAATGAAGATGTTGCCGGGAATTTATTTGCTTGTACTCGCTGGACTGCAAATCCTTGCATCCAAGGCGGAGTTCTTCAGCTCAACTAGTGGCCTGGGGCAGCTGCTGCGCACGGAGGTCATCGTGTTGAGAGAGCTGCAGACATATGTGAATGAAATAAGGGAGCATGCCGATATGCTACAGAGGTAAGTTTACGCCCATCGCCATCAAAGAGAGGCTGGAAGATTTGATTTTCTTCAAGTGGGCTCTCTAAAAAGTCAGCCAAACCAGTTAATGGCTTAAGTAGTGGGTTTTATAGTTCCCTCGCCAGTCTGGTTCTGCTCAGACATCTCTTAAGTACAACTAGCACTACATCGAAGCAGCAGCTCATCAATATTTAGTATTCAGCTAGTAGGAGTAATTAATAATCAATAATCAAATGCTGCATGCCCACATCCGATGACAGAGCCCACGCAAATTGTTTCTCTGGTATTTATACTCTTGATCATCCAAATCAACTGTTGGGCCTGTTTTACATTCGCGGAGATTTTCGATGCTGAGCTTTGCTTATAAATTTGTGCTCATCATGCGCCTTTGGCAGTCTAATTTTTTTTTATTCTTGTTACCTTTTTTTCAATTAATTACATTTCATTCCCGTATTGCCACCTAACCGGTTCACATTAAGCCGCCCGAATCGTAAGTCTGGCCTAAGGGAACGCTACAAGTACGCAAATACAACCCGAATGTGCAAAATCCAATTTATTTCATTTGATATTTATTAGTATTCACTTGATTTAATTTTGTCACCAGTTGTTAATATTTTTAGAGAGCTGCCAGAGCTATTCAGTTTATGAACTGCTAATATCTCTAGTCGTTTACCTAATACACGCTCAGTTGACGGCTTCGGCATTGTTTGATGTTTGCATTTTTATGATCTAATGACATCGATGGTTACTTCAGCGGATCGCAGTTGCTGCTTCAAGTGTCATCGACTTGCCCGCCTTTTGTATGTGTATCAAATGATTATCTTTAGTCGCTGTATATGCAAACCGGCTCGCCACCAGTCTACATATAATGCACAAATTAGTATTTCAATGGCATCGTTACGAAATCCCAAAACAATATATGTATAATAAAACTTAAAACAAAAGAAACACAAATATAAATATAAAACACTATAATATCCCATACATAATTCAAACAGGATTTTTATCCTAAGTGCATGGAGGAACACGTTTCCGTATAGCTTCTCAGTTTGTCATGGAGCACATAAAAAATAGAGAAATTTGTAGGAAAGCGAATAAACATCTGTTATTTATGGCTCTAACTTGCTAAGAACAAACGAGTGCTACTACCTAATCAATAGCCCGATAAAATCGGATACTATCTAGTTGACAGACTCGGCGACGTTGCCGTTGAACGTAATGGCGACATTTAATTTCCGATAAATAAACAGACACATTAAAAGAACGACGTGTGGCTCTGAGATAAGCGTAAAAACAAATTAATTATTTATTCAAAATGTGAGTGCCGCTTATATAAACATGGATTGAAAATATTTAAAAATAAATACATGTATAGGCAGCACTTTTTTATGGACAGCTAACTAGAGCAAAAACTGGGGAAATAATAGAAATTAACTAAATATATTTGAATATCGTATGTAAATTGCGTGAGAGTCTGGGTAGTTTAGTTTTTTCGAGCTCTCACACAAATCGTAATCAAAGCATGTGAATAGAAAGTAAGCTCGTGAGAATCGCAAAGAAGGGCAGCACAATAGACACACACACACACACAACTCATTTCCTGCATTGTGCAGTTATTTATGCCCAACTAAATTGTTTGATTTTTCTCTCTTAAAAGTTTTGATCGATTGTGCTGTGACAGTGTATTCAAGTGCTTATAAATGGGATGTCTCCAGACATAAATAAATAAGCTAAATATGCAAATGGCGCTTATGCAAATGAAGAAAACATTATTATGAAACAATTTAGAATCTGATTAATGCTTAACACGCCAACAAGAATTTCATGAATTTATTACCCGCAGAGAAATCAATGAGATTAGAGCGGAGCATCTGACCGCGGCGGAGAGCATCGAGAGTTATCTCAACAATCCGGTGAATGCGTTCCGACTGATAAAGCGCCTGCACACCGACTGGGAGACGCTGGAGGCCACCGTGGAGAGCGAGCACAGTCGCACAAGTTGGTATCAGAGCGTGGGGGAGGAGAAGGGGGGCATCACTCACACGTTATCATTATCGATTTGAGTAAACTGTTTTTTCTCTATCCCTGCTTTACCCTGCCCCTGCCTCTCCTGTTGCTCTATAGATTTCCTCGAGGCCATGGCGGGCCACCGACAGAACTTGAGCTTCCCCACGATGGAGGACTTTGTGGGCACGACGCTGGCGATGACGCGACTGCAGCAGACCTACAAGCTGGACGTGGCCGAGCTGGCGAGCGGCATGCTGAATGGTGTCAAATACGGGTGAGTGATGGCGGCCCCGGGCGTGGCAAGTGGCAATCACAAATCACACGCGACAGCTCGTTACAGGTCGGCCATGTCGTGGCAGGACTGCTTCGTGCTGGGCCAGCATCTCTACTCGATGAGCGACTTCAACAACACGGTGCCCTGGCTGGAGCAGTCGATGCGGCTGCTGGCCCAGCAGAGCTACAGCGATGAGCCCGTCTCATTGGATTTCATGGAAGCAGTCATCGGCTACCACGAATCGTTGGGCGACTACCAGAACGCAATCGATCTGATTAATCACGTGCTGGCCGTGGAGCCGGAGCAGCGGCTCCATCTGCTGGAGAAGCGCGAGCACCTCGAGCAGCTCATCTCCGACGGCGTCAAGCGCGGCCTCATGCACGTGGTGGCGCGCAGTCCGGAAGACTACCACGCCACGCAGGACTACCTCATCTATCAGCAGGTCTGCCGCGAGGAGCTGAGGCCAACCGCCGCAGCGCAACGTGAGCTGCGCTGTCGCTACTTCAGCGGCCATGGACGGAGCTTAAACTACCTGGCGTACAAGTTGGAGGAACTGCACCGGGATCCCTACATAATACAGCTGCATGAAGTCATTGGCGCCCACGAAGCTGTGGAGCTGCAGCGCCTGGCTCGACCCGAGCTGCAGCGCTCCGAGGTCTATAACCCAATCAACGGCAGCATCGCAGCGGCCTTCCGCACCAGCCAGGGCACAATCTTTGAGTATGACGAGCATCCCATCACAGAGAAGCTGAGCCAGCACATGACTCTGATATCCGGCCTGGATATGAACTTCGCGGAGCCACTGCAAGTAGCCAACTACGGCATTGGCGGCCACTACGAGCCGCACATGGACTCCTTTCCAGAAAGCTTCGACTACAGCTCGCATACGTTTAAGACCAATCGCATAGCTACGGGCATCTTCTATGTAAGTGTGCACAGATGACATTTGGCCTCAAGTTGCTCAAGTTATTCAAGTAATTTTCTCTCAATTTGTCGCCGTATCCAGCTATCGAATGTGGAGGCCGGCGGCGCCACAGCGTTTCCCTTTCTGCCGCTGCTCGTCAAGCCCGAGCAGGGCAGCCTGCTCCTCTGGTACAATTTGCATCGCTCCGGGGATGCCGACTATCGCACCAAGCACGCTGGCTGCCCGGTGCTGCAGGGCAGCAAGTGGAGTGAGTAGTGAAATAAACATGTGCTAGCCTTTTTCCCTTTCGCATAATCACGTATAATCTTTGCGCTTCCAGTTGCCAATGCGTGGGTACGTCTGAGCCACCAGGACCACGTGAGACCCTGTCAGCTGCAGCGCGATCACGAGATCTCCTTGCAGTTTAAGGACTAATCAGTCCTTCACAGCTCAACTCAATCATATTTGTGATAATATACGAATAAAGATGTTAGTCAATTATTATTTGTATTTAGTATTTATTATTTAAATGAATCCAAGCCACATCTTAAGCCAAGCCAGCAGCACTTTACTCAGTCGGATCGAGCGTGCAGGGACGACGGAACTCCTGATCAGTTGAGTGTATCCAAATGTTGCCAACTGTAAGATATTGAATATGATTCATCAAATGTGGCTCCAATGATCTTCAATTAGCTTTAACTTACTGCGCTTGCTGCCCTCCAGAACGGGACAGCCTGCGTGTAGGACACGGTAGTCGGGTGCCAGGGATCTGAGTTCGTTAGGCCAAATAACCAGGGAGCCTTTCACGGGCCTCAGAAACACATTGAGAAGGGGGAACACCGTATAGCCGCCTTGGAGCACATCTGAAAGCTGAAGATGGGTCGAGTTTAGCTTTGGACTACGGGCAGCGGTGCAAACAGTTCGAGACTTACATAGAACATATTCGTGGTGATGCGATTGCCGCTCTCTTTGTAAGAATCGGGCAGCTTTGATAAGTAATCGTAATGCGGGAAGTATTGACCCCCAATGCCATAGTTGGCCACCTGCATCTTCTCTATATTTGTCGTCTCTAGGCCAGAAATAGCACCAAGCAATTGGCCAATGCTGCTCATGATGGGGCTGGTGTAATCGAGCCAAACCTGTTGACTAACGCGCGTCTCTGTTACCACATCCCCGACCACCGTGGAACGAAAACTTTCCAGTTGCTTGGCCAATTCCAGGACGGCTTCTATTTGCGCATCGGTCAGCACGTCGTAGTAGATATGTATGTCGGGATTCAGATGCGCCTGCTCCACCTTCAACGGCGACAGCCTGAATCGCGGATGACGTTCAAAGTCCAAATAGCAGCTCAATGAGCCGGGCTCTGGCACTCGCTTGCCCTGGCACAGCCGCGAGTAGTTAGCATACCAATGCGGCGCGACCGGCTCCTTGGGACACTTTGGCTCAGTGCCCTCCACTTCATCGAGTAGAAAGCGCGCTGGATGGGGCGTATCTGGTGAAAGCGAGGGCAGCAGCTCCTTCAATGTCTCGACCGCCTTTTGCTTTTCGCCCAGCTCCATGTAGGTCATGCCCAAGTATTCGTAGACCTGTGCGCTAATGCCCTGCGCGTTTTCGTCCTCGATTTGATCGACCAACTGGGCAGCCAGCTGCAGCCACTCGAGGGCGCTCCGGTACTCGGCCTGCTGATAGAGCTGTATGCCAATCTCGAAGCATTCATTCCAGAACAACGCGTTGTTGGCCATGTCGCTTGCCGTGAGATTGTAGACGCTCTGCAGTCGCTGCAAGCCCAAGACGGCGCCCTTGAGATCGTCTTTATTTGGTAGGCCTTGCGCCGCATCTGTTTCATTCACTGACTTGGCATATTCTGCATGTGAAGAATATAAAGTGAATGTGAATATATATGGGCAGATTCAATTTCACCTTCTCGGAGCTGCTTCTGGCTTGCGGCCAGCGAGTCGTGTAGTGCTGGCCAATCGACGACCAAGCGGTTGATCAGCCTGAAAGCCTGCAGCGGCTGTTCCAGATACTCCGCATCCCGCAGCAACTCTTGCCTGATGGCTGCATGCTCCAGCTTCACTCGCTCCACGAAGCTGACAATTAATCAATCGATGAGTTGTATTGGCCTGTTTTTGCCGCACCTTTCCTACCTGCGCATTTCGTACAGCTGATCTTGGCGCTGCGTCAAATACATATGCGTGGCAGTGATTAAATCCAGCTCCACTTCCCCCAACATCTGCATCTTGTCAATGGAAGAGTAATATTCGCCGTTCACTGGACTCCAGGCAAGGCCCAACAGCAGCAGCCACACGAAGACTAAACTCAAGTGCTCCAACATTGTGTGCGACACGATCGAACCAACGGACTGGGAGCTAATGTGGTCTGGCCCAATTGTGACCCAATAAACAGCTCCAAAAAGTCGCCAAGCATCTGTGGTATATTTATTTTTCCACTGCCACAAATATCTTTAATGACATTTCTTCACAAAGAGAACAACTGTTTTCTCTAGCTAAGCAAACAGAATTGTTTATTTCCAACTATTCAAACCTCTATTATTTGCACAGCATGCACGGAATACTTTCATATGCGTTAACTCCGACGTACGATGTCGTGCCGCTGCTTTCCGGCTATGCGGCTTGCAATAAATCAGATCCATCATCCTGTTAACCGCGCGCTGGTGCGGGATGTTGCCATGGCCAACAGCAGCCGCATGGCTGAGCGAGCAGTGGCTGTCGCGAAAATTCAATTTGCCACAAGCGCGGCAAAGTATGCAATATGCAACGTGCAACGTGCAACATGTAGCGTGCTGCATGCGTGTTTTGCCAAGCCTGCGTGCACGCACACAACAATACAGACACACACATGCATAAATCAGGTATTTGGGCCAAATACGAGCATTTACGTTGCTTAACGAGGTTTAATACGATTTAATACAGTTGATAGCGTACCGCTTCGTCAGAGAATGCTCGCCTCAAGCCAATCCGTAGAGCAGCCTGTTCATACAACAGAGAACTGTTTTACTCAACCTGAAATCAATTCCCAAACAGTGCTGATTTTATTCTTATGCTCATCTTGATTAAACGTTAATGGCAGACCAGCTGGATTTCAATAACTCTAACAGACAAACCTCAATAGTCAATCGATAGTTAAACAAAGTCTGTATGTTCTATTAACATACCCATATTAATTAAATATAATAAAATATATACTAAAATAATGTATGAGAAAGCACAGTATTTATATGTATTTAGATTTCAATGACTTAATTACATATGCAGTAGAATCCGGCTATAACGACCGTCGCTATACGTACGTTATAAGAGTAGTCGTTATAATCGGATTGTACTGTGTCTTCGTTTCTTTGAACGAAAGGTAGAGCATCACCAAGTCGGTATTCACCACCTTTGCTACTTTAACACGCTTTGGAAATCCCAACTCCGAGTTTCACTTGCTTGTTAATATAAATGCCTGCTGACCATAGAAAGTCCAAGAGGTATTTATGAGTTGTGCAACGCTTCCTCCTTCGACCTGTTACACATAGTTTTATAAAACATGTATACCCTGCACTTACATTCCACTAAATTCATTGTAAAAGAAACGAGCTCAAATGAGGGGAGCATTCTTATATACAGTCTTTAAAATTCAATGACGCCGTCACAAAGCATTACTTATCCCAAACCAGGCAATGCATATACCTGAACTAAAATACTTTTACTATAATGGAATACAATATTTAATAAACCCAAGTTCAAATTAAACATATCTACGCTGTCTTTCAGCCCCATTCCCTAGTTAAGTCTCATCGCTCAAAGTGCTTGAGATTCCTTAAATGCCATATGTTACAACAGAATGGAAAAAATCTATAAAATTCATATTAAATTCAGTTGTTCATGAAGCCATTTGCTAATGAATTCGTCTGCCTTTTGAAATATTAAAAGGTACAATTGCCTTCAAATGTTCATAAATACATATATGTATGTATTGTATATGCCATTGTCTTGTATTTTCACAATTTACGTCAAAGCTTGTGAAATGTGCCAGGTTTTGCCAGTCCAAGGGCAATGTGTAGTATGTAGTCATTGTCTTATTGACAGTAATAAGTAATACATGGTGCCACATGAAAATAAATTTACAGTAAATAAGTGAAGTACAAGAGATTTTAACATAAAATAGATGAGATTGTCCCACTTCTTCCCACATAAGAAAAGCAAATGAGTTTCATTTTCATATTCGTATTCGCATTGATCGCATCATTTCATTTAGTTTGTATTTCTAGCATTCATTTGTATTTTGTACAAAAATGAGTAAATTCAATAATAGCATGCCTAAAATAACACTAATGCCAAGTAATGGTATGTAGTTGAAAGAAATGGGTGTCGTCATCGGCCAGCCGGCGTTCCAGATGTTGGATAGTTGAGTATTTACAATAGGAATAGAGTTTATGTTCGCCGGCTGGCGAGTCCTTAGAGATATGTTAGAGCGCAAAGTAAGTAGAAGTACGAGTAGTGGCGGCTGGTAAATGAGAGAGTCCAGCAACAGCTTCAGTTTTTCTTTTCACTAGATGGCAAAATCACCATGATCCGGGGCCAGGTCACAGGGTCGCCTGAACTCCTGCCCACGCTCATGTATCCACTTGTTGGACACTGGAAAAAGTAAAGAGAGTTTAGCCAGACAAGAGATAGAGAGTTAGACAGAGGCTCCACCTACCCCATTTGCTGCCCGTGAGCACGGGACACGCTGCGTGTCGCGTTCGCACATCGCCTTCGCCGGAGCGATGCAGATTCATCCAGAATGCAGCCGTGCCCTGGAAGTAAAACGAAAGTTATTTAATCAGGACTTGATTGGACTTCAAGCTCGTAGCGCTACCTTTTTGGGCCTCAGAACCGCATGCAACGAGGTGAAGACTGTGGCACCACCCTGCTCCACGTCGCTCATCTGCAAGGCAAGGCGAAATACATCAAATGAAGTTCAGTTTGAAATTATTAAGTTCGTAACTCACATAGAACAACACGGTGGCAATGCGATTGCCCAGATTGAGACCCTCGAAGGCGCGTATCTCCTCACGCTATGAAAGACGAGTAAACGCAACATTAAAGCCAGCTCCACGGGTGCTTAATTTACTTGAACTTACTCGGGCGAAATCAAAGTGTGGCTCGTAATGGCCGCCAATGCCGTAGTTAACAACTTGCAGCTCCTCGGCCGAGTCCATGTCTAGGCCAGTCATGTCGGCGGTGCGCTGCACCACTGTGCCAATCACTCGATGCTCGGCGGTCTTAAGCCAGGCGGATTTGCTGATGCGGTAGTTGGCCGTTTCCAGGGCGCCAGTCACGGCGTTTTGGACGGTGGCGCGGCGGAAGCGGGGACGCGCCATGCGCTTGAGCACCTCAATTTCGCTGTCGAACATGGCGTCGTGATAAATTACAATGTATGGATCCAGGAAGGCCTCCTCCAGCTTAAGCGGCGCCA